GGAATCTTTGTTGGCGTCATCAGCGTTTTTTTCGTATCTTTCTTCATTTTTGGTCAAATCGGCATTCACAGCTTCATCATCAACCGCCGTAACCCCACAAATTCTAAGTAGAGGTGTTTGCTTCAATAAAAAGCATGAAAGTGAGCTGTACGACCACTAGCTACTCCAGACGGTGAGAAAGCCACTTTCAGCCAGCCGATGTGCATAGTACTCACAATGACAATGACTCAGGGCTATTACAGCTCACGACTTCGAATATGTCATGCAAAAAAATCCATACACCATGAGCCGGGTGCAGCAAGCCCTAACTCGGGGATGGCTCCCCAAAAACTCTAAAAAAAACAAAACTATTAATCTTGACCATGAGAGTTGCATCATCGACCAGAGTAGAGACGAAGTGTTTGGGGACCCCTCCTTTAGTTAGGGCTTGCTGCACCCGGCCTCATGTCACAGAATCACCGGCAAAGGTAGATGTTCTGGTCTCTCGTCTTGAAAATAGACGACGAGAATTCGAGGGTCTTTTCATGATGGCAGTTGGTCGCAGCTCACTATAAAACGGTCTAATGTGCCTGCACACTCGATCATCTGCTATGCTCTTGCAACATCTGTTCTCTCGCCGCGGTACACAGCTTTTCGACCGTCTGTCTCTCCTTTTCGTGAGCATCTCAAAAAATGAACAGAAGCGGTCTAGATTTTTTCAGCGTTTTTCAAACTTTTTTCTCATTTTTCTTCAGTAGTTGTACACTTCGTACCTCTACTTTCATTTTCACCAGATAACTTTCCCAATCTAAACGCGGGCAATGCTCTAAGCTTGGAAAGTGTTCTTACGCCGTAGTTCTGGAATTGATCGAGGTCGGGAGCTGTCAGTTGCGGAATTCCTATCATATATTCGGGGTGCCTTCATCGAAAGTTCCCTCGTGTCTCTTGTTGAAGACATGGCAGGAGGGTCACTACGTAAATGTCTGACAGTGTCAAGTTGTTCATTTGCCGGTGCATCATTCGAAGCTGCAACAATAACATGGTAAATAGTAGGACCCATTCAACATAGACAATTCGACAACTCACCGAAGTCACCATGAAGCGACTCTTCAGAACGCACTCGTTCAACCGCAGGTCTGTCACAAAACTCGGTGCTTACCTGAAAACCTGTTTTCGAAGGAAGCCGCTACGATTATGAGGAGCGCATCGGGGAAGCATATGCACCACACGAAGCAGTTACTTGGCTGCCAAGGAAGCGAGGTGTGGCGCTTTCACGACGAAAGGTGCGCTGGTTGCTGAGCAGGACTTCGAAAGCACTCCGCCCCCAAAAGCGATCCGCCTAGTTTAGTTGGTGATTTGGACGAGCTGCGTTGCCAGCAGCGGCACAGGAGCAACTCGACTGGAGCATGGATTGGCATGGTATCACCCAACGCGTTCCCTACGTCCACTGTCTCAGCCGTTGTCCGTCCTTGAGCGCAAACCAACGGATAAACCAGGAGGTCCCCTTCGCGTTTCTTGATGGATTTCTCTGCCTTTTCGCCACTAGCGTGCAATTGAGCACCCACACGTCTCCTGTAAACCCCTAGGATAGATCGTAATCGCTGCCTTTTAATTTATATCACTGAGTGTGCTGGTTTTGTTTGATTACTTGTTTCAAATAGAAGTTTGGACATAAGACTACAAGGTTGAAATCCAGCTCACTTTCGTCGTTTTCAGGCTTCATGTACGCGATAGTCGCTGTCGAGAAGGAGAGTGGAATCGGCCAGGATGGTGAATTCGGATGTCGCACGATTTCAAGCTGCGGAACATTCGATCGGAAAGTGGGCTGCGGTCTTTCTGACGGAGAGTACGAAGGGAAAGAGTTCGATATTGGCGATCCATTGATAACGTCATGATGCTGATAAGCGAGGGGGGAGCAGATTGAAATGTGGATTACGGTGCCGAGAGGGCGACAGATCCGAAAGAACGGCGTTCTAGTTTCTCTATCAGAAGGGGGGAGACTAGGTAAGAACACCAACACAGGGCGACAAGTATAGGGACGTGATGGGGCAACAGTCGAAAATCTCCCCTCTTCCATTGCAAACGGATATGGAAGCTGCGCTATATCCGACGTCGGATTAGTCAAGGCTAGGAATTAGAGAGCGCACCCAGTTATCTAAATGCTCGGTATTGTAGGCTGTGTGTCATGACGTTTCGTCATGATGCGACGAAGAAAACCAAGGTGAATCCTTGACACGTCATCCTATTGATTAACTAACTCAAAACCGGCGTTCAAATTGCCGCTGGCCGCACTGCCAGTCCATTCCAACCAGCCATTCCAACGGACCGCCCCCTGCCCGGGGTATAAATACCACCCATTTCTGGGGGTATAAATAACGCACTCGGAGACTCCGGGCCAGTCTTCGCGGTCTTCGCCGGTCTCCTCAACTTCTCCAGTCGTCTCCAGCGGTCTCCAAACAAGCGACTCCGGTCGCACAATAAACCTAAGGCGGCAACGCCAGCAATAAACCAAATAATCAATAAGCACAAGGAATCATATAAGGTACAGCCAGTGGACCATCCACCGGCCAAGGCCACCAATCAATATCACTAACCAAGGACCACCAACTCACACCTCCAGCCACTACCAATCAATACCCTAAGGCACAAATCAATATTGAAGTACCCGATACGGATTCGAGTAATGGCTAACCAACCGTAACGCTAACTTATGTAGGAATAAATTGTAACATAAGTTAACCATTGCTTTCAGGAAATGTGGTATAAGCTATGTTAATAAATGTTAGTATTTACAAGTGTTGCGAAAAAAAAATAATAGAAGTTGCATCATGGGCAAGTCTCACACTTCTACAGTCGAAAATAGCAGCCTTCCATAGCGATATGAGAAGATGATGATGATGCAGGGTTGAAGCCAACAAGGTCATCGATGAATCATGGACCATCACGACGTGGATGCACACTAATCATAAGTTGTAGCCGACTGGCATGCTACTGGCAATAACAGCCGCCCGGCCAGTAATTTTGAACAAACCCATTCTTGCAATGTAAAGAGTGTTACAAAATTTCTGACAATTGGTACTCGGTACAAATTATGCTTATCTATGCATAAAACTAATAAACAACAGGACTTGTGCAGCAACCACTGATCGCAGCGTAACAGCTGCCCAGTTCGAAGGAATTTCTCGGAAAATGAAGAAAGAATTTGGGAGATAAAATTTGGTCGCGTGCAGGATACGAAAGCGCACGACTCCTAAGCGATGAATGTTCAGCATTTCCAGTGAGTCAGAACAATTTCTGTATTGGAAGTAAAGCAACGTGTTTCAATAACAGCTATAATAACACAAAAGAGGAACTCACAGAGCGGTTTTATTCTGCTTAGCTGATGGTTTTGTGGCATGAGGTATCACTTTGAGATTACCTGTAGGAATAGGTAAATCCTGAAAAAACAAACCTATCAAACATCCTGTAGTTCAACCCAAATAGCTTCCAAATGCATGCGTGTGATTCGAAAATGAGTATCCCTTCACGCTTAGGCTGGTGTCAGAGTCCGCGATCCGTCGCAGGTTTCGCTGATTTTCGCGATTCACGCGATTTTCGCGATTTGCGCGAAACCTGCGACGGATCGCAAAAATTGCAAGTGTGTGAACATTTGAAACACTGAATATGAAACAAGTGGAATCATGAGCAGTCGTCATTCAGCCATCACTATCAAGCAGAAGTGGCGGCAGGATTGGAGAACACCTTGCAGTATTGATCGGGCACTTGTGATTTCCGTGACCCGTCGCGTGAATCGCGCAAATCGCGAAATCAGCGAAACCTGCGACGGATCGCGGACTCTGACACCAGCCTTAGGCCTGGATATGAGGGGGTATAAACGTGTCACTTCTCAAATTCAAGTGTATTTCAGCAGTGGAAACTATGACTAAAATCATAAGCCTACCTCAAAGGGAACCGTCGTTGATGGACCGCCACGAGCCTCATGATTCTCCATTGGCAACAACAACTTCTTCTGGACTGTTGGCGCTACATTACATCCTACAAGGCGCTTAAATGATTTTTGAATGACGTGGTACTATCAAGTTTAATCATGTAAGATATTATGAACCACTGCAAGCGCTTTCTTCATACTTGGTATGTTGTCCGTTAGTTCTGATTTCTCAACACTCCCGGTCGGGATAATTGTAACTGAGGGCATACTTTGAAGCGGTGGAACAACTGCCGTTCTCTCCACATCGTATATCTGGAAATGGCATTACCTGAAGATGAAAACTGGAAAGGCACTACAATGAAGGACCTCTTTCTTGACAGTCACATTCGGCTTTTGAGCGTCTGTTTCTGGATTGTGCAACAGTTGATTGGGTATTCGTGGAACACGCACAAGAAACGGAGAAATTGTCGTGAGACTAAAAAAGAGATCTTGTCGCTGAGTATCCAATTATTATTATTGCATGATAGCTAGTCTAGGATTCGATATTCTTAGTATGGTAGATCGATCAAAATATAATATAAGACAGTGCAATTAATCTAATCATAGAAACCTGAAAAGGAAGCTAACGGTTCTCACTACGGAATATCTCCTCAAAGATATTCGAATGTCAGAAATAGTCGTCACTTACTTATTGTTAGATGTATTGTTCCGAGACTTAGCCATTTTCTCGTCTTCCGATTTCACTAATGGTAAGAGCGGCGGTGCAGATGGAACATCTGGGGGAACACGGCTGCAGATACGTTAGGTTAATCAGGGGAATCCTAAATCTTATAACCAACCTACCAATTCGTTTTCACATCATGCTTGATACCTAAACGTTCTGCAAACAAAAGAGCGAGATCCAGCGGCTTCCCATAGTCTCCGCCCAATACCTAGAGGCAAGCATTCAGACTTTTGCCCACTGCTGGTATACTATGATTACCTGACAATTTGCGGGATTCAGCAAAAGAATTCCTCGCCGAAGAAGAACTCTAGCCGTCAGAAGTATCTGAAATTTGGCTAAATATTTGTAAAGGAAAATAAAGCAGTGTACTGTAAGTAGCAGTGATCGTACCTTCGTTCCTGGTAGAGTATTCTCGTCCAAAGACAACTAAAAAAAACTCACTATTCATATGCGTACTTGGCCTAAAATTGACAAAACCTACTTTTCCACCATACTCGATGGCATGCACCACGTTCTGACCGTCAGAGAGCTTCATCTTCAGTAGCCTGCGTCCTGAGCTTCGCAGTCGCTGATCACTGCCCTATGCTTGCAACGTTATACAGAGTGCTGAGGAGGGGTGGGGGAGTGGGGACAAAAAATTTTGCAAATTGCGGTTATAAGCAATTTAGGTGGCGAGTACCGATGCCGCTGATAGAGGTATGATAGCGAATATTTCTTAAATGACTCTCAATAAGCAGAAGCAAGCTCGCCTTCACCACTCCTACCGTTTTTAAAATATGACGTCATCTGCTACCGCCGTCGAGCCCAAGGAGGCCCACCTTACTTGCTCCTGTCTGGAGCAACTACCTATAGAAACCGTAAACCTGCAACTACCGGCAATTTCAAGGAAAAATAGATGTTTCTCCTGGTATGACCACCCCAAAAATAAAAATACTGTCGACGTCTATAACAGAGAAAAATAGTGAAATTTGCTTTTTCATGGCCGTTACACGTTCTTTTGATCGAAATTTTCCAATATACCACCGATTAAGTTCTACGCACTTACACTGCTATGAGGCGAAAAACGCTCCTGTCCTACGTGGCCAAAACAGTCGAAACGCGTGCTGTCGTCAACGTGTTGGATTTGGAAGATATCTCACCGATTTCTGTGAGTCCACGCCTTCAGGCTCTTCACCATGAAACCATGACAAATCATCTGCATTCTCAATACACTCACAGTACTGTTCATAACAAGAGCGAGCGGTGTTGATCACAAACAATACATGAAAATAAAATAATATTTAGAAAGGAAGGAGTACGATGCCTAGATATCTGGATTTCAACAGGATTTCTGACCTGAAAAATCATCGGCTTCACAATCACAGCTTTGAGTGCGACAGATGGGACTTTTGCGAGCGGTTCGTAGGCAACGGAAAGATCAGAATGTATAAACTGTTCAAAAACGGCGTGACACAACTCTTCCTCCTAAAAATATACGATTAAAAACAGCATCATCATATAGAATTTGCAGTTTCAATTTCAATTTCTTTGAAGTAACCTTTGCCGTTTTGTCATGCGTTTTGAGAAAAGCAATTGCGGCATTGAGCCATTGGGGCTTTACGTGAACATGTAGATCCTTGAGGAACCGCATCAGTGGCTCCTCCATCGCGACATTCCGAGCTAAAAAGATATGCAGCTATCTAAGCGATCTCAAATTGATTGAGTTCATAAATGAAGCTTTTAGCGGCGGAATAACCTTTTTCAAGCATAGACTAGACTCTTTTCAGACGAGCATATTCACAAAAGCTATGTTTTCACAAAACACAAAAATACAACATCAACAGCAATTGAGAATTATTAGGATCGTTATGAATTAAGTGAACAAGAGTAAATATATGGAGCTTACTTTTCATGAATTCAATCAAGTTTGCGTCTTTATGACTGAGTAAATACTCACAGATTACTATGTAGTAATATTTTGCAGAGATTTTATAAGATATTGCATTGCAAAGAAGCTGATTTTAATGAGGCGTATATGCTCAAATACTGGGAAAACTAGCAAAAAGTTGGCGAAGGAACCTGTTCATCTAATGTACAATGGAATTCAATGTGCTTTATATGCAAAGATACATCTGTTCGGACTACTCTACATAGTCAAGGTCTTCAGGTATTTCAAACTGCTGATTTAGTATCTTCTCATCCATTCCGAACTTCGTCTTGCACCATCTTTTAATTGAAAAGATGTTGTCTGCAAGAAGGGGAACGATTACGAAAGGGCCAAGAATATAGAAATGCACGAGTCACCTGTCCATCGGTTCGCATCTTCGCGTGCTTTTTCTATTCGTTGCTTCACTTGGGCAATTACTTCCGGATCATATTCGGCATACTGAGCTAGACGATCACTCAACTCTTTTTCTTCCTGCTGTAGCTGCGCGCGCAACTCTAGAAGCTGAGTGCGTTCCTTCGAATCCTGTGCAAAAAAAGCATCTTCAAAGGAAAAGAAAAGGGTGAAGGGCGGAAGTGGTGTAGTGGCAAGTGCGCTTACCACGCGAGCGGTCCGGGGATCAAATCCTGGGTCGTGAGTCGCCCGGGCCAACCAAGCCTTCCATCCCTCCGGGGTCGGTTAATTGGTACCAGACTTGTCTGGGAGGATAAAAACACTGACTTGTACATCGGCTGGCCCCCCCAAGTCATTGTATAGGCCACATCGCATTCAAACGCCACTACGAATGTACAAATGGAAGTAGAATGCGTGCCGCATCCCAAAAAGGGATTGATCAACGGCAAATGCTTTATCCTTTTTATTAAAAGAAAACGTTGTCGGTTTACACCTTTAGAGTGCGCCACACATTCTGATTCGTTCTGAGACTCGCTTCCTTGGGGAAGCGAATGGTTGGAAGAGTGTGTATGGAACGGACGAACGTGGTAGCTTTCAAATAACCAAGAAGAAATGAAAGATTCAATCAGCATAAGCAATAGCGAATTTCCTGCCAATGAACTCTAGGTCTACTTCTAACTGACAAAGTACCAAATATAGCACTTTTTGGACATTTAAAAACCACTGCTAACAACTTCTGTCCTTTACCCTTGGCGACAGCGTTGGCAATGGTGAGTGACACCCTGCTGCCGCGTGGAAAGTGGCGCTCAATGTTGGGTGGAGACAGTATATTAAAGTGATAGATATCAGTATATTCAGTC